ACATGGTATGCTCTGTGACAATTTCTAGTTTCTTGATTTTTTTTAGTTTATGATCAGGTGTTTAATTGCTTATGTTTTGTGTGAAAAGTTTTTTTTTTTTATGGTTTCCAAGTGGTATTTTATGGGCATATTTTTGAATTTCTTATATTCTACTGTTTTGATTATGAACAGTTCTTTTCGTACTTGAATATGAAGAGAGGATTAAAAATAATGAAATCAAGATAGTTTCTCTTGGACTTTAAAATACACTGTGACCTTTTACTTATTCATAAGAAGCCTATCATAATGCTAATCAGTGTTATATTTCCTTTACATTATTTTTGTATCTAGTCTTTTTTGGACATTCTAGTTTCCATACTGAGCCAAAGTTAAACTGCTTATTGTATTCAACAAGTTCCAAAGCTGGTGGCAAGTGCAAGGTTTAATTGTATTAATTGTTGGCAGTTTACGACATTGTAACTTCGGAAACGGATAGTCTCGTGTTAGTAAATTTCATAAATATAAACAATAATGCAGAAGCTATTGACTGTTCCTCCAACCATAGCAATTAGATGCAAAATCCCTTCCCCGTAATATTCCCCAATAAAAATCTGAAATTAAGACACACTGACTAATCTATTAAAGGCTTCATATATCTGGGAGATGAGGACATTGTTTATAAAATACTTTTCATCGAATATCTACTTAATCTTTGAAATAATGCTAAAGTTGGAGACGATGATGATGATGATTACCTATCTACTAAGGTTACAACCAATTAATTATTGGTAGCAGAATTGTTAATACTGTGGTAGAGGAAGATACCTGGAAAATTAATTTTTTGCTCATTGGAGAATTTGAACTATGAAGTATTACACAGTTTTATAATTGGTAGATCATATAATTAATAAAATTTTCATGCCCCAAACCTATCGACTACAAGAGGGACAACTGGATTTCTAAACAAGTTGTGGTTTTCATGAAAGCTATTGTTGATATGTTGTTATTTTCACAGATTATCAACGTTGATGTTCCTTCTAATGGTGTCGATTTTTTGTGTTGTAGTTTTTTGATGGATATGGATATCATGGAACATCATTTGAGCAAACATATAGATGCTACCCTGCATCTTTTATCGACAAGGTTGGAAGGCTTCCGTCTGCAACTTTTACATTGTTTTACATACTAATAATTTCCTATATTTTGATTTTATGTTATATTGAATAGTGTACATCGTTCAATTACTTGCTTTCAAAACATTTCGATTTAATTTTCTTGTCAAAAAGATTTTTGAATTTTCCTTCACTTTTTACGGGCTGCCAGGGTTGAATTTTGTTTTTTATTTTTTGGGTCAATTTTACCACACTAGATGGAATATGACCACGTCTTTTGTGAAACTTACAGCTTGAGATATTCAATTTTCAAATTTTTGTGTACTTATGATTTTTTCCTTCTCTTGCTTCTGCAGGCACAGATAGAAAATGGTGACAAAGGTAAGAAATCTATATTCTTCAAATGTAGGCAGTCTATTTATATATTTCATTGACTGTATATTATCTTATTCTTCACTTGCTTTATGTTGTTCAGTTATAATGCCACCATCTGCTCTTGACCGCCTTGGTTAGTTACTCCGGCTTTATATTATCTGGTTTGGATGTAATTAGTGTGCCCTCTCCATCCCCATTCCTTGTGCTTAGCTGGTGATTTTTTCCTTTTAACTTTGATCATAGTTAACCTCAATTATGCAGCATCTCTTCATATTGATTACCCAATGTTGTTTGAGCTTCAAAATGCTGCTGCGGAGCGGGTTTCCCACTGTGGGGTTCTGGAGTTCATTGCAGAAGAAGGCATGATATATATGCCTTACTGGGTAAGTGATGTATTATTTTATGGTTTTGGTCAATTCAGCTAATATTAACACATTACTTTTTATGTATTCCTGTAGATGATGGAGAATTTGTTGTTACAAGAAGGAGATTTTGTACGGGTGAAAAATGCGACACTTCCTAAGGGTACATATGTTAAATTGCAACCACACACTAAGGACTTCTTGGATATTTCAAATCCAAAAGCTATGTGAGTGCTTTGAATTATACTAGGATAAATTTCCTCAGTTTATAACTCTGCTATTACAATTGCTTCGGTCATTTTCTATTGTATTTCAGCACATTCAGTTGCAACATACTAAAAAGTGGCAATCGTGTAGGTTTTGTAAATCTGAAATATAAATTTTTTCCCATCAACTTACATTTCACTCTAAAACCTGAGTAAATTACTCAGGAGTTACCATGCCCTATGATGAATGAATATTTACTTGTGTTGTTCAATTTAAACAGCTTGTTTGGGACTGTGCTTAAATTAAAATTTAAGCAGCAGGTCCCACAATATGTGTGGATATAAGTGGGGGTTAAGTTGTAGGTTATAGAATGCGTGGATAAAAATTGTGTTTGACAAGCTAAATTATAATTTAAGCTTTTCTGTATGATGAATGAATATTTGTTCTTTTGTTGCTTAATTTAAAAAGCTAAATCATAATCATCCAGTTAGGATCAATCTAAACCAACCCATTATGTATATGATTCAACGTGCCAACTATTAAACAACTTATAAGAAATACAAGACAACCAATTCGAAATGTCACAAATCCCGGGGTAATAATAATTGGGCCAGGAGAGACTTTTTTAAGTCTTGCACTCAAGAAGCTTGCCTCTGGTCATGAGGCCATTGTTTATGGCGAGCCAAGCTATAAAGGAGTAGCAAGGCACAGCCATCTTTACCTATGTGGGTCACGCGGCAGAACTCATCCAATTCACCTGAGCACTTGGGACAAAATGTGTGGATGAAAAATGGGCCATAAGTTATGGGTCCATAGAATGTGTGGATAAAAATTGTGTTTGAAAATAATTTAAGCTTTGCCAAACATGCACAAGGTCTAGGTTTCTGCTTATAATAGATGGCAGCTCCTACAGAATCTAATTAGGACTGAGGGTGCAGATATACCATGTTCTTGTTTGTAGGAAGAAGTGAATCTTGTTGGTCTAACTCCCTATGGAGCCTGACATTTTCTTTGTCGTTATATTTCCAATCTTAACAGACATGCAAAATTTCACAGTTGCAGATAAATTAAGAATTGAACGAGTATTTTCTTAATCATTCTGGCAAAATGCCTATACAAGTTCCGTTTTTTGATCTTTTGAATTTCTAATGTACAGCTTGGAGACTACATTGAGGAACTTTTCTTGCTTAACCACGGGGGATAGTATTATGGTGGCTTACAATAATAAAAAGTACTACATAGACATCATAGAGACGAAGCCTTCAAATGCAATAAGTATTATAGAAACTGATTGTGAAGTGGACTTTGCTCCTCCTCTTGATTACAAGGAGCCTGAAAAACCTGTCGCTTCTATTCCAAAGGGCAAAGCACTGGCTGAAGGTGCTACATTTCTCTTATCACTTTGTATTTTTTTTCTGTTGTCTTTTCTTTATCCACATCGTTGTCATTTTCAATGTTACAATAGAGCGTTTCCTATGCACCATAAATTTCTTATTCTGTGATTCATTTTTATCTGCCCACTCAGGGTCATTTTAAGCTTCTTGTTGGGTTCAATTTAAAGTTTGGACAGTCTAAGCATGTAAAGGCCACCTGCTGATTATCAAACTTGCCTTTATTTCCTTCTTTTGGGCGGTTTGTGCAGGTGAGGAGCCTCCAGCTGAAGAACCAAAATTCAATGCGTTTACTGGTGTTGCCAGACGCTTGGATGGAAAACCTCTGAAGAACCCTGCCCCTCCGGTTTCATCATCAGGGTTGAAAGACAGGACATCTGGTACTTCCAATGGAGCCGGGCAATCTTCCGCTTCCAGTTCCAGTTCACAAAGCACTAACCGTCAATCTCAAGGAAAGCTTGTATTTGGCTCAAATGCAAATCGGACTCGAGAAGCTCAGAAGGTTAATCTCTCTCTAGCCCTACTTTCCTATCTCCATTTAGTGGTGTAAAAATCAACCGGCCTGCTCAGGCCCATTCCTTGGGCCCAGGGCAATGTCCAAGAAGGCAAGAACTACATTGTTATCTCAACCTATTTTTTATATACTGTAGGACACTCCGAAAGAGACAAAGCAGGAGCCTCCAAAGAAAGAGGAGCCGAAGTTTCAGCCATTCTCTGGAAAGAAGTACTCGTTGAAGGGTTGATTGTGTATTAATCGAAGCCTTTAAGTTATTCGCATGTTAATCTATGGTCAAAACTACAGGAATTATATTAGAGTGGGACAGTGTATGACTAAAGGGTGTTCTTTTTCCAAATATGAAGAAATTATATACTCTGCTCAAGTTTATTTACCAGTAGTATCTTTCTTCTACTCATTGTCATGCATGAATGGATCTTGCTCATTCACTAGTAGTAGGCATCTTAATTGGACGGGCTGATTAATATTTTATCTTTACTTTGCATTAGTACTTACTATACATTCATGCATCAACGACACTCGTGGTTCATTTTTGGAGAGAATTTGGGCCACAGTTGGCCAAGTGAACCATTTTCCGAAAGAACTGAATTCATCGAGCCTAGCTGTAATGTATGATTATCAAGGAACAAAATTGATTATGCAAAGCTTATCGTTTGATAAAATTTATTGCATCAATGTCGAGTGGGTAGAAAAGTTTGTTATGATGGCGATATATTTAAACGTATCATATAAAGCACCTAAAGCAACAATAGAAGTCGCAGAGAAAAGAAAGAAAACGCAACAAACTGCATTATATTGCAGCCAGTGATTACAAAACAATCGGATTATCACATTACCAATTACACCCAAAAGCAAGAGGGATGAATAATACGCCATTACAATATAACAAACTCTACGAGTTTTTTGTTTTTACAGTTCATTAACAAAACATCGTCAAATCAATCATCGAAAATGTTGTTAATAAGATCTATACCTAATTCAACCTGAGTGCAAGTTTGGTAGAGAAGATTGTATAGCACTGGATTGTGAAATACGCTATGCAACTAGGTAAACAAGCTCACATAAGGGATGCCATACTATTCTTCCAGCTAAATCTTCGACTCGAGCGGGTAGGTGTGAAGCTAAGACCAAACATCTCCTTGAGGGCTTGACCTTGCTCCGAGAACCCAATTAGCTTCGCCACAATAGCAGCGCTCTTTGTATTGTGATCCGTATCTTTAACATTACTCCACAATTGTTGGACAAGCTGCAATCTCCTACGTTTTGAGTTCAAACTGATTCCCCATTCCTGGAAAATTCTGTTTCTTTCAGCATCTGTGTACCTTTTATATACAAGCCTGCTCAGCATCTGCCTCTCCCGGCGAAGAGCTTTCTTGCTGTGACTCCAAGAAAAGGGGTATTAGTCAACTAATTTCAAGCTGTCAATCCAAGACAAAACATAATCTTATGTGTTGTGAAGTAATAAGAGACACAACGGCACCAAAAATAATGTTAATTCGTCACAGAATCCCTCAAAATAGTCTCTTAACATTTAAAAAGGAGCAAATTGGTCTCCCACTGTCATTGTAGTGCATAATCAATCGCTAAATAGGGAAGCTACAAAACCTAAATGATAAAGTTGGGCATGAGGCCAAATTAACATAAACTTGAAAAGTTTTTGGGTTGGGGATTGATTGTGCAACAGTAATGAAAGGTGCAATTTTCTCTATATGTTACCATGCACTTATTCATCAATTTTCAACCACGAAAATAGTGTGAATGGAAGAGGAAGCCTGGATACCTTGATGCTAATGAAAGAGTGCGACCATTTTGGACTGATGGATTTCCGTTCGAAAAAGTCTCTTTCAGGAAGGACAGTCTCCTGTGCTCTACCTCAATGTAAATGGAATCTGTAAAGTCGCCTTTAAAAAGGAGGAAGAAATAGGTCCTATGGACCAATGGGACATTGCAAGCTTGCCACAATTCAATTATCGATCTCTGCAACTTCTCAAACTTCAGGGACCAATCTGAAGAAGCGCCCAGAGAATCGTTCATTGAATCCAACCCTAAGTTACAAGCATTATTTTCACCTCTCTGTTCCGTCTCTCGAACCTGGATAAAAGAACCCAGTAGAAAGTTAGTAATTACGTCAAATGATCCCTTCGTAACACTAGGATTCAGCTAACATGCATCTATCTCATTCAAGATGGGGGAACAGGGAGAAGCCAGAAATTAAATAAAAAACAGACAGTTATTCGAATCTCTTGCCTGGTCGCCAAATTGTTCATACTGAAGCTTTGCCATCTCTTTGAGTCCTGCAACAAAAGAACCAAGGGTAGGAATATCTTCATCCCCTTGAATGCCATTCTGAGTTTTGAGTTCATCTATAAAACTACTACAGTTGGAGGATTGAGAATCGTTTCTGGAAAGTCTTTCAGCATTTGCGCCATATATCGATGGGGGAAGTCTCCAGTGCTTTCTTTGGAATCCTTCTGGTCTTCCTGGGAAGCTTTTCTCCAGCCCAGTAGGCGGGGTGGTTTCACTTTGTTCAGGCATGTCAAAGTCAGATGAGTTAGTCCTTACATTATCTCTGCAACTCCAGCTTCTTGTCAATTTCAGGCTCCCTGGAGCAGGCAAACTGATTGATGAGGAGGCCCCTGGAGATAATTGATCTGGGTAAGGTTTGACTAGTGAATCAATGGTCTTTTGTACATCAAGGATTTTCTGCTCCAACGTTCCATACGAGTGACCATTGAGAATTCCACTAGCTTGGCCAGATAAGCTTGGCGATAGCTCCTCATCCACATCATTGCCATTACCGGTATCTGACAAAGTTGATATTCTTCCTTCATTCTGATTTGTTGACCAGTCAGGTGATTCAAATGTTATATCTTCGCCAGATTCAGCCATCTCAATGCATCGTACTTCCTTGCACATTTCTTCAGAATCTTCAACCATTCTTACTGAATGTTCCTCTATTCCTTGACTCATATCAGATATACTATCGGATGAAGAACGATCCACACTGTTTACGGAAAGCGGTAGATCCAACGTCCCATCCCTTCTAATGTCTCCATTACGAAACTGAATTCCATTAAGTTCCTTTGAAGGTTTATCATTTCCAACCGTTTGTAGTAAATCTTCAATCCGAGAATGAGCAACATCTAGTTTCTTAGTTAGCTCCCTAACCTCTTTCTCCAACTGCAAATAGCAAGCCAGGGAAGCACATTATTATACTGCACATTATTATAATGACTAGTCCCACTACAATTCACCACAACACAACTAAGATATGGTAGTTTGGCATATGAATTGCCAGAAAGGAAAATAAAGAGATATAACATATGCAGAGACAAGATTTTAAATTTTGGTAATATATATAGATGAAGTGCGTGCTTATGCTCAATTTATAGTAATTCTATATGAGAAATGTGAGGAGACTCGCTATCCTGAATAAATTGAACAAATATCAATTGATAAAAAATATAGAGCGCTTTAATACTTAATCACTATTTAGGAAGTAACACTAATCATTTCAGTTCTTAACAATTATTCACCGAACTATCAAAGTTGACTTTGCAAATGCAGAAAGCACAAGGAACTTATGTAATCTAGATTGTCATTTTCATTAAACATTCAGCTTCATCTATATACTTAGTAAAAATCATGTTATGTAAAATTCATTTGAAGATGAAATCATAACCATTTGAAACGATTTAAAAAGGCAAGTAAAGTATCAAATTTTTCTCAGAAAGTAATTTTAACCTTTTCAATTTGCACGTCCTTCTTTCTTAGCAAGACTGCATGATCACAAATTGGTCCTGGAGCTCTTAACTCAGTCTCCAATCTAGCTACCTCTTTCTGCAGATGCTTCACCAATGCCTTATCAGACATCACTACGTTGACCTGAGCATTTGTTGATACTTCCTTTGCACAGCTAGCAAACAAAAGGGTATTTCGTGATTGCTCAACATGGCTTCTAGCAGGGCTCAAGGTACAAATGATGGCAGTTCTTGCATTTCCCCCCAAGGCAGGCTGCAATATGCGTGTTAGCTTAGAGTCTCTATAATTGACATGTCCGTGTCTTCCTTTGCTGCATTAAGTCATACTGATAACATCACAAATTACAGTTCGCATAAAGCAGCACAACTATTATAACATCATGAAATTAGGAACCTGAAACAGAAAGTTCTATGCCTATAAAATTCCCTATTGACTAAATCCCTCATAAATGATATCTTAGATAGAAAAGGTACACAGATGCATACATGTTCAATATCATCCTTCATGAGCTATTAAAAAAAGGGAGGAACCACCTTTCAATGAAAGAAAAAGAAGCTCAATGTCAAAAATCAACTCATAAGATATATTTGTTGTTGGTTAGGCCCCAAAGGAAAAGATGGCCAAACCTACTTTATATTCTCCAGATGGTACCAGACTGCTATAAACATACAGCAATATTCCAGTAGCAAGCTAGAACAAAAGAAAGATTAAAAAGGCATAATTAATCAACCTTAGCTTGCGAATGACAGTCCCTAGAGTCAGTAAACTACGATTTATATGGCAACCTTCCTTCAGTCTTTGCCCAACTGATAATGCCTGAGATGCACGCTCACTTCCTGCCAGATCAACAAAATTCTGCGGGCAAAAATCAAATATCTTATCATGCAACACTTCTAGGTTTACTCATATCATCAAAAGAATATCGTAGAGCAATTGTAATCCACAAATTCAATTTCACAGTACCACGCTAGCAGCAAGGGCAGTTGAGTTATCCTTTCCTAGAAACTCGCGAGCAGAACTTTCAATTGTCTGAAGAAATCAAACAAGGGAAGAATAAATTGTGAGACTTTCAAAATTTCCCATAATTTAAACGCTAGAAACAAAAGCTTAACCAAAAATGAAGAGGAAAGAGAGGCAAACCAGTCTAAGAATTTGATGGGACCTCGAGCTTGTTTCATTCAAAGAGGTCTCCCCAATTTGTCTTTGTGCTGTGAGAATACAAGAAGAGTGCATAAAACATATGACATATTGTTTTCAAATTTTTGAAGTATAGCAGCACTAAAAAAATATTAATTGCTATGAAACTCCCCTAACCTTCACATATGGATAACAACTCCTTGAGATGGTTCCAATCCCTCAAAGTTTCTTCCGTGAGTTTCTCTATAATAGTCCCTCTCTGCATACAGAAGAAAATAATTTGAGCTATAGATGTACTATAACAGTACATTAATAATGTGACAACTCACCTCTGGATCATCAAGTAGCCTTAGTGGAGCATTGTCTGTGCTAAGGAGATCTCTAACAACTTCATTATAAATTTCCACAGCAGAAAACTTTAGTACGAATGCTCTTTCTTCATGCTGGAAGAGATAAGAGAGAAATGTTTCTTGAGAAAGTCAAACAAATGGCATTTAGTTACATCAAGCGGAAGTAAAACTCTTCCCTTATGAGGGAAAATGTATTACTTCACTATCCATCAAAAAATCAACACCAGATCAAGAATTTGCATACCTTTTGTATGTAATCATAAATGTCAGCCACTGTATACTCAGTAATCCCGTTCATGGTGTATGTTTTTCCACTACTTGTTTGACCATATGCAAAAATAGTAGCTGAAATGAAAAGGTTTTGGAAACAAGTGAAATAGTTGTTATTGGGGCAAGTGAAGTTAGCAAATTATTAGTCCAATTAAAAACATGGAATGTGGTCACTAACACAGAGAAAAGGTATGAATTTTCATACTTACAGTTGATACCACCAACAACCGAAAGAGCAATGTCCTTTGTTCCTTCTTCATAGACTTCCCTTGTAGCGCAGTCACCCCTATATACTCTGTCTGTCCTCGTAAACACAACAGATACCGATAAAAAGACGGGAACAAAAATGAGGTTATTAGAATTCGCTCAGAAATCATGATTCTGCATATATAATCACAAGGACTGGAGATCATCATTTATTATGTTAAACCACACCATCTTTCCTGAAATTGTCATCATCGAAGCAGAAGTCTCCATGGAGACTAAAATTAACACTTTAAGTCCTCAAAAAGCATCTTAATTTGACCAACCACCCACGATGTGTATTGAAAAAAATTGTGAAAAAATGGGACAGAGAAGATGGGTTTGCTTCAGTTCATTCTAGAAGGACCTAAGCTTAAATCTAGATGTAAAAGATGATAAAAAACGCTTACCAAATGAATAGGCAGTGGGCAATCCAGACCTCTCCTGGAGGCTGTTCCGGTACAAAATGGTAGTCGGATTGATGCATTCCCAGTCAGCAACTTCATTTCGAGTGATTTCATTCTCACTCAAAGGCCTTAACCTCACCAACACCAGAATCTTCTCTTCCTTCCCATTGCCCATTCCTTGCACTTTTTCCCAATTCATCATTTCTTCCCCACCAATAGCCCCCATTTCTAATACCCACCTACCCCACTCCTCCTCCTCCTTCAAATACGCTCCAATGGTACCAATAACGAAGCCTCCATAATTTTAAGTCCCCCCAAAACCAAAATAATATTGGAATTATTAGAAAGCTTCTGAACAGGCCATCTTGTTAGTAGCCATGGAGGCAAGGCTGTTTTGCTGAATAAAAATAGAGTTGTTGCAGTAGCAATGGGATTAACCTCGCTCTCCAACTAATGAATAACTGCAGTATTTACCTGCAACAGAAAAGACTAATAAATATAGGAAGAACTGAAATACAAATAAAATATTGATCAAGCTAAAAGGGCAATTATCCTGGGAGTTAGACTGTTAGTAGTGATTAAGCACTTTGCTTAATCTTTGGTCTCAATCCTTTTCGTCCAACAGAAACCTAAAATTCCATTTTTGACAGTCAGAAACTGGCACCAGATAACTTTGCTTAATGGGGACCCCAACTATGCTTCGAGTCCAAGTAACGATGCTCTTTTATTAATTTTTCACAAGGCCGGTGAAAAATGAATGGTGGACCCCCATATGACCACCATTACATTTTTGTGTATGCATAGGGTGTGCGTGTGTAACAGACGCACACATATATACCCTAAATTAAAAGAGTTCCAAAAGATAATAACCTCCGGTGTCGTTTTCGCGGAACTTTAGTGAACTGTTAAAAATTCAATGGCACATATGACATAACCTTCTCTTCTGGCGAACTGAAAAAATAAAAATCCCAAAATTTAAGCATTAAAATGCCTTAATGACTACAACGGCCAAAAAAATTTTAAAATCTTCTGCGGAACTGCTAAACAATAGTGATAACGTTGAATTAGAACAGATAACTCCGATTTAACGGTAAAAAATGGAATGAATGAGCCAAAAAAATCATTAAATGCCGCTATTAACGGTAAAATTTTGAATGAATGAGCCAAAAAAATCATTAAATGCCGCTAAAACAGCACCTTATTCGGATTAAAACTCCAACTAAGTTTACGTTGGTTATTAAATTACTCAAATATTTTCCAGGTAAAGTTGAGCCGATAAGAAAAACCTGACGGAAAAATCAATGGTCCTGACTCGGCATATTATGACTATGAACTATAACACTTCAATATATAACAACACTTTACGCGTCGAATAAAGTGATTAAACCTAAAAAGATGAAAAATTGATTAATTAATTAAAACGAACAAAAAAGGGAATCAACGGCAATCGATGGAACAGTAAAAATGGCGAAACCTTTACCTCGACGATCTCAGTAAATCACCTGAAGCACAACAAAATGGCCAATGGAAGCTCACAGAGTGTATGAGAAATTGCTTTTCTCTCGCTCGCTCGCACGCACGCAGCCACGCACGCACGCCTTGAAGAGTGAGAGTGAAGTTCTTCTACTTGATTGTTCCACCGGAAAGTGACAGTTAAAGTGACGGAATTGCCCTTATGGTTTCAAAAAAGTCTGGATGTTAGCCACGTGCACACGTGATCGTCGGTATAGATTGGCGTGTCTTTAATTAGAGCGTAGAATAATACAGAAGAGAGGAGATTACAACTTTACCCTAAACTAAAACGGCGAGGTTTCAGTTTGATTTCCTTTATTTGTCAAAAACAACGTTTTGAATTGTAAATTTTTGGAATGTGTGATTAAAAAGTAAATAATTTTGAATTTATGTGTTGAATATTTTATTGTGTGAATGTGTGATTGAAAATGATTACGTAGAAAAAAGAATTTTAAAATAAATAATGTCAAATAGTGGCTTAGATAACTTATACCTTTTCAAAATTAACTAAAAATTGTCAAATAATTCCATGATCAGTACTAACTTATTGTTAGGCCATGTTTGATTGGTACATTTTCCATGGAAAATATCACATCCGAGAAAAATGAATTCAACTTTGACCGTTTGATTGCAACGTGGAGATGAAAATCGAATTTCAATGTACAACCATTTTAAACTGCATTTCATTTGTTTTCATGGAAAACGAATTCCTATGAATTTGGTGGGTTTTAATTTTCCAACTAACATGGAATTAGAATTTCTTTCCACCTTTGCATATCGAACATACTCTAAACTTATTTTCAATCAGACATTTTATCAATAAAATAATTTTACATACAAATTCAAAAAAAATTCATATTCCAAATATCACTATTACAAAATTTATTCTCCAAAAAATGGAACTCAAACAAACCCTAAATCTCACTCCACTGCAAGCTTAAAGGAAAAAAGGATGAAGAATTTTTTCAGCGCAGTACTCACCGCAAAGAATAACGTGGTTGAATTATTATGATGGGCCCACCTTATCACGTTTAAGCAAAACCACTGGATGCCTGATAGCTAATTGAGAGAGACGGATGCGTATGGAGTAAAAATTGCTGTTTGGTTCAAGTAAAAAAAAATTAAATTAAATAATTAATTTTAATCTCATAGGATTCACAATTTCAACTACATATTCCATTGACTTTTATCAAAATTTATTAAAATTTAATTTTAATCTAAATCAAACAAAGTCTTAATTAGCAGCAATGCTATAAGAGTGTAGAAGAATTGACGTTTAATCTACTTTGTCAAATATGTTATTAAGTTTACGGTTAATTCGTAGTATTGAGTATTACTAAGCTCTCTGTTTGATTTGGATAAAAATTAAAATTTGCAACTTTTGTTTTAGATTGATCAAATCTTAACTCTAAGTGCATATTTGGGATTATAATGAAAATGAGTAGTAGATCTCACGAAATGCAAAAAAAATTAAAATATTCACCTAATGCGTATTTATTTGTATCAAAATTTTGGATATCTTGGTTGTTCACTCTCTGGAAGCGTCATTAGAGAGATTCGTTTGATTAGGTAAATAAATAGACTAATTGAGGGAACTACGAGAAAACTTCTACGTGAGAATGCAACTCCGATCTTTTTGGTGCAATGGACATGGCTGTTATATACAACTCCTTCGACAATAAAATAATTTGCCAATTCACTCTATTGTGATTGTGTCATTCTACAATAACTTATGAATTCATGTTTGGTTTAACCAACTCTATTGCGTGATCAAATCAAAGAATTTAATGACACAGGGGGACGCAAACTTCAACCAATGCGACACTGTCTTGACTCTGACGGGAGTAGATAGCTGGATAGAGTGTGATACCTGTGAACTTTTGTCAATGAGTAACAAACATGTGACCAAATCATTCCAGGTTGATAGCTTTTGGGTCTACTACGGGGCCCAATTTCTAGTTAGTGTAAAATTAGGATGATAAGGGCCGTAATTTGTGGTCCGTGATAGGATCCATTCATGACGTAGCCCATTAGGTAAAAAGGAGAGAAGAATGAAATTAGCAAAAGATTTCCGTTGCCGGGACTTGAACCCGGGTCTCTCGGGTGAGAGCCGAGTATCCTAACCAACTAGACTACAACGGATTCTTGATGTACATGGTAATAATATTATATCGAAAATACAAAAAAGAAAAAAGAGTGACTGGTAAATTTTTAGTTTTGTGGCTCATCAGTCATCGCTATGAATAAAATGACAATGAGCTGTGTGTTGTGGTTGACTGTCTCTCCTGCTAGAATTTAACCTCTTCCACCTTTGGTATGAGACTTGCTATACATACTTTCTTGTCTTAAGCAAGGTTAGGGTTGGCCACAAAATATGCCAGCACACCAACAAATGGTGCATTTATGTAAGTTGTGGGTTCCGATTTTCGAAAATCAGCTCTATCATCCTCGTACACATCATCTTCCTCCGGTCCACCCACCACCGCTCCCACCAACACATTTGGATTAGGGGCGGATGAGTTAAAGTAAACCGAACCCTCCTTGCACCGAATGGGTTGGGGATGATCTTTAATGGAAGGAAGTGAAGATCCCCTGTGGTGAATCCTTTGGGGATAGTAATTGCTATACCCTACCATGTAAGACATTCCCTTAGGATTATCTCCCAAAATGTAATCAACTTGTCTTTTGGCTATTTGTCTAAGCATTTTTGGCCCGACAGAAATGCTACCGCAGTTCAGGATTTTCGATGATTTTTCCAAATAATTGGCGTATACAAGCAAGAGGAAAGAAATGGATGTGGCATGTTGCAGGTTGCTTCCACCAGGCCTGTAAATGAGACCACCGGGACTGAACTTGATGTGGTAGGACGAAGAATCCGGTATCAGTGTGCACATGAAGCTATCTGCTGATACTTTGTATGACTCGAGGGTGTACGCGCTCCCTTCCAACACTTCCTGCAAAATTGTTTGTATTATAAGATTGAATACGACTTGCCATTTTGTTCAGATCTTCGCGCAAAACATGCTCATGGTGATTTTTTTTTTTGGCAGATATTAACCTTAGAAACTAGGACATTTAGACCAGCATGCTTGTTGTCCCATCCAAATTCATTAATGTTATCATCTGCACCAAGTGTTTTACCATTGTTTTGTATGTAATTGAGGTAAGAATCTCCCTGAGAAGCTCTTCTAAGCCATGCTGCTCCCCACAGTAATTCATCCTGTCAATTAACATTAGTAAGTATACAAATAAGTCCACGTTTTGTAAGATGATAATTAATTATTCTCTTCGGTCATGTTCAATACCGCATACCAAACATGTATAAGTATTTGAGAAGAATGCTTGCCTGATATCCATCAAAATCACAGTAGAATGGGCAGGCACCCTCCCTGATATTTGAATTATCGCTATAAGCTCCTCGATAACCATCTGCAAAATCGAATACTCTGATGGAAGTCCGCAAGAGTGTGTCAGCATATCCAGGATCAGATGATCTAAATGCAATCGAAGAGGCAGCCAGGGCTGCAGCTGTTTCACCGGCAACATCAGAGGCCGGATTCGGAGCCTCGACTGTGTATACTGTTCTAGCAGTGTCCATGTCTTCTGGCCTCTCCCAGCAGTTATGGTCTATAATTGGATCTCCAACCTGTAAAATGACATCAATCACACGCAAATTAAGATTATCTTGAATTTTAGTACACTTTTTCTTTGACATTTTGGGTAAATACAAGTGTACGAATGAACAAATGGATAACAATGAAGAAATATTTTAGTCCTTAACTCTCACATGCTAAGCAGTATTTTGTAGCTTAGTGAAATAGTCATCAGTACTACAATCTATCAACACGAGATTATTGAAGACAACAAATAAAACATGTTCCAAGTACCTATAATAAAGATCTTTAACATTTCAAGAACCCAATTAATTTTCTGTCGTATATTGCAGAAAAGAACATTTTTTGGACGGCCTTTGCATCTCATTGAACAATTGTAATATATATATATATATATGATAGACAGTAGTAATTGCATTTAAAAACCGTGAGTGTCCGAACAAGCTTGCACTCACCTCGACTAATTCCACGAGGTTTTGAAGTTTACGATCGAGTACTCACCTCAGTGGTCATGAGGGAACTTGAACTGGTGACCATTGGAGAGCAAACCCAAGGCACCAACTATTGTCCATCATATATAAAAGTTTTGTGTTGGTTGTGTCGAAAATGGACTATAAAATATATAAGATTTTCTCCTTTTACGAACAAAAGTTTTCAGAAGATATAACTCATCGTAGTTTAGAGCATGCAAATCTAATATCATTAGTTCACAAAAAAATTAACCTGTCAAACTTTTAGCTCCTGTTTTGCCCCCATTTTCTATAAGTCGTTTTTCGTTAAACTCATTTTCAATCACACATTTTATGGAACACAACTTTTATCAACTTTTCAATCACATATATATTTTATTAAGTTTTATCAAAATTTACTAAAAATATATGGTTTGTTTGTAACTAATCACATTGGTCAAACTTCATTTTTATTTATACATTTCATTTCATCCAAAACTTTTGTCTACTTTTTAATTACACGAGATCCATCAACTTTTATTAATATTTTTTTTTTTTGCTAAAAATCTACGTCAAACCAAGCAATACATGTAGCCAAGCCCAAAGGATGGTACAGCCCGCAATTGGTGTAAGATACTTTGTGGAAAATGGAGGATCACGCACTATTAAACTAGGTGCATTGGTCCTACAATTTTCCATCACCAATAGATTCCTGCACATGATTATTGGGATCCAAAGTGACCAGAAACAGACAAACCCATGGCCACGGGTCATGGACCTGCCAGAATTCGTTGAAGATAAATTCTATTGATTAAGAGATAAAAATATATGCCATTCTTTTTGGTGTCAAATCCGATATAACATGACGTCAGTCCAATCACAATATGCACAGTGTTTGTTTATGAGGAAGATGAATAATAGATTCTTCGGAAGTGTGATAAGTATTTCAAAAAGAATTATGCTACACACACAGCTCGGTTCACAGCTTCGTTCACAGCCCTCACACATTGGGGGCGGGGCCCGCGATTAAAATAAGCAAAATTCAGAGGTGGGGCCCGCGGCTTGTGAGGGTGCTGTGACCCGAGCTGTCAAGCTCGGGCTGTACAAATGGCTTATTCCTTTCAGATATGCCGAGAATCTTATACTCCAAGTGTAAGTACGTGTTTGTGTTAAAGCCTGCAATCAATTTAATTATTATTTACCTGAACAAAAATACGATTGGGTTGCGAAACCGTCTTGAGAAGATAATCCGTGCCCCATTTGATTGCAACCAAAGCATTCCTCAGCTCCGACGGCGGCATGTATTCTCCGAACTCAATCACACTCCACGCCAGCATTGTGGTAGTAAATGCCATTGGAAAATTGAACTTAATGTTATCGCCAGCGTCATAATAACCACCGGTCAGGTCGGTATTCGCAGACGTCCACCCATCGCCGACGCCGGAATTTCCCCGCCAAGTAATTTTCTGATCCCACGGCAAGTACCCGGACCTCTGCCCTTCGAAAAATAAAATTGATTTTGACAATGCATCTGCATAATCATGGTAGTTACTCGACTCAAATGATGAAAATATTGAAAAGAGAATTATGCAAAGAAATTGGAGCAAGTTTACTGAGTAGAATTTCATGGTATGGGCACCTATTTTGTGGATTTTCCGGTTTTTCTGTTGCCTATTTATAAGGGACATATACACTATAAGGAATGTAGTTGTGGGCCCGTTTTCAGTTGCCTCAATTGAGGTATCACGGGTGAGTGTCTCTATGTGGATGAAAAAGAGAGCCGACGCTACAGGTACGAGTATTGTGACCTCATTTCCAATGCGACGGCTCTTGTATCTCGGTCTATTGGGGTACATCTCGCGATTTACCTCCTCCACAATGTTCTTGGACGAGGAGGTTAGGGGCCCTCAAGGTTGAGATTCAGCCTTTTATATTCTATTTGATTATGTATTTGATAAGATCGAATAATTTAATAAATAAAATTTAAATTTTCTCTTAATAATTTTATCTATGAATCTTGAATTTTCTTTAAAATATTTTTGTGACAAGTTAACATTTGTTGCCTCGAATATGTTGTCATCTCACATCTTTGCTATAGTGAGTATTTAGCCCTTGTTTGATCTTTATTTTTCTCAAAATATATTTTTTTCTTTTCTTTCAAATCACATATTTTTCAATAAAATAATATTAATAGTAAATTTAAAAACTTTCTTTATTTTTTAACCACACATTATTCTCTATCAATTTATTATTCCAAAATGCATCCTAATAAAAAAAGGGGCTCAAACTGGCCCTAAATTCACTAGTTCTTTGACTTTTTAAACAAACATGCTACAAGTTGA